AAGAGGAGCTACAAACCCCAGCAACTGTCTTCAGAGTGTGGTGTAACATAGGAAAAGGCACCAACATTTGACCCTGGAGCAACATTCCCTATCAGAAGCCTCCATCCTTCCCAAGAGCTCCCCAGACTTCAGCAGATGGGAGCCTGATACAAGCCCATCATTGGCCAGAAGTGTGAGCTCATATCAAGTGCCATGGGTCCCCATCAGACCCTCCCTGAGCTGAGCTCCACGGGGCTCTGCAGCACCAAGGAAACCCTTGGGGAAGGTGAGCACCTTCCACCCGTGACTTAGATCAGGGCAGCAGCACAGGCAGGAACACACACACATGGGCCTAATGCATTCAAATGGTAGTGGCTGAAGATGAGGATCTCAAGGTCCTTTCCAACCCTAACTATTCCATGATTCTATGACATGATTCTATGAGGAAAACTGTGGGCAACCAAGCAAAGGGTCAGGCCTTAACCCAGGCACTGAGTTCAGGGCGTTGGGGAGAAGCAGATGAGTCCCTGAAGCACTGAACAGTCATCCTCATCCTAACAATTCAGTGGGGTTTCATCCAAAACCAAATGCAGAGAAACATGGAAAAAGGGAAGGGGTGGTTGTATTTGCCAAACCAAAGGGGGTTTGCCCATGAAACAAAGGTTAAAGGACACATTTAGGTGTTTCCATGTGATAATGTGTCCCTGATGCACACAGTGACCTGCGCTTCCTAGCAGAATGAAGAGCTCCTGCCCTTCCTTTCAAGGACTCACAAAGCTGAACCATCACAATCCCTCTGGTTGGGAGCAGGAAGAGCCCCTGTGTTGGTGCTGAGGTGCTGGATCCCCCCTCCTGCCCTGTTGTGGCTTCCAGGTATCACCTGCACCTTGCTTGGAGCGAGTGTCCTTGCACAAAAGGCAAAGGAGAGCAGGACCTGGCTGGGATAACAGCATCTGCTGGGAGCAGCACAGCCAAAGATGCTCCTCTTGGGTGACTGGAGCCCAAAACCTGCTGGCATCCTAAAAACCCAAGTTGTGGCTTCACACCTTAATCCCCAACAAACTCCACCTGCTCCAAGGATCCAGCAGCCACCAAGGGAAACACTTGTCAACCTTTCAACCATTAAACCCCTTATTCCTCATTAATACAAACCAAGGTAGATGAGAATTAAGAGCTTGATAGGCCAGCATCCTTACAAGTCAACCCATGGGGGAGATGGGCAGCAGCAGGGTTAGACTCACCCGCAGCTGCAGCACGGCTCATTGCCCCCTTCTTGTGCCACATCCTCATGTATTGCATGGAGGTTTCATGCAGCCAGCAGTGAGGTAACTCCACCTCATCAAAAGCCCCACTTTTCGGGACACCTTCCTCATCCTCACAGGGAAACAGCAGCCAGAACAGCACCAGCAGCTCCCAGGTAGCCTCAATGACCATGTTCTAGCAGAGACCTCCATCACTTGGGCAGCGCTGTGCCAGCATCAGTCCCGCTCCAAGGGCAGCATGGCAGGGCAGGGTGTCACACATGAGCCAGTGACCATGGGGACAGCAGCAAGGGCTGCATCACACCCAAACCACCAGGGTAAAGCACAGGGACAAGCCCCATCCTGCTGGATTCCTGCGAGCTGATGGGAGCTGTCAGTGCATGCCCTGGTGCCAGCTGCCTCCTCAACCCCTGCTTCCCATCCCCGTGCCAAGCAGCGTTATCCCCACTACTGGTCATTGAACACGGTCCCAGAGGGGGGGGGATGTCTCACCTGGTGCTGTTACACCCACGTTATGGTGACGAATGAGCACAGAGCAGCCAGGCAGAGCCAAAGTCAGTGCAGGAGAGCAGAAACCAGCAGTGAGATGGAGCAAAGCCTGATCTAAGGCAAAGATCTGGACTTAAATGGGGTAGGAAGGGGTGTGGGAGGAGGCCCCAGATGGGGCTGATCAAACTGATCAGGACCCATCAGCACAAGCAGGACCCTGATGTCCTTTGCAGGGAGAGGATTTGGGAGTGATGCTATGGGAACTGCTTGGGATAAGCAGTACTCCTGATACTCCCATACTCCTGATAAACCAGCACTTCCCCACCCTTGGCACAGCCCCATCCGCTCAGCACCAGCAGAGCTGCTCCGCAGGGGATTTGCCAGGGTTGGTCAGATCCTGCCTCGGTCTCAGGCCAGGAATGTGTTTTGGGGTGCTCTGAGAGCTTGGTTTCTGCTGGGTCTGGTGGGGTTCAAGGGCAGCATCAGAGCAGGAGGTTAATTCAGTGTGGACCAGGACTAGCCCCCAGCTATCGCTCTGCAATCCCACAGCTGAAACGTCACTTAGTTCCTCTTGCCTAAAACCCAAACCCAAACAGCAGCCAGCTTCCTCCCCAAGATTCAACCTGCATCAGGCCATTTGCTCACCTGGATCTCTGGAGCAGAGGCAATGGGCATTTGTCTCTGGGGTATTTGTGCCTTGGTTTCCACATGGTCTGCCCCAAAAGAGCTGCTGAGCTGGGGACTGGCTTATAAGTCTGTAACATGCCACTAAGGCCATGCAGAGAGCACAGGACCTATGGCCCTGGGCACAGCCTGACCCTTAAGGGCTGCTGACAAGTGACATCCCACAGCCACAGGCCCATAGCATCAGGCTGTGCTGCAGCACTTGGGCCATTGCTTTACTCAGAGCCAGATGTGGATTCTCTGCTGTCAGCTCAGTGGGTGACCTTGGAAAAGTCACCTGGGGGAGGATGGCAAAGCAAGCCAGGGCCTCAGGATGAAAAGGTACTTAAAAAGTCACTTATAAGGGTATTTACAAGAGATGTGCTTGGCTTTCCTCCCCACAACAGACCCCGGGTGACCCCAGAAAGCAGTTTAAAACCACCCCTCTCTGTTTACAGTAAACATCTCCCTCGTGTGCATGCAGCTTACTTTACACATTCATAAAGCCCATGTCCAGCACATGCCAGGCTGAGCCGGGCCGGCAGGAGGATGCTGCTGGGCAGCAGGACAGGGACCTGATGTACCATGAACAAGGAACTTTCCTCTCCATCTCCATCCCAAGCCGCTGGCATCGCCTGGTCTCTGAGCACCCCTCCAAGCCCATCACTGGGGCAGAGGTCCTGTGTGTCCCCCCCCACCAGCCAACCTTCTGGTTTCCCCATTGGAGCATCCCTCCTGGGTAAGGGAGAACTGGGCTGCTCTTCTCCCCATGGAGGTACCCACCAAGCTGCAGGCTCTCACTGAGGATGATACACGGACATCATCATCATCATTTGCAGGCTGAATATAAACCTCTTCCTAGGAAGTGAGCTACGTGAATGCCCCAGGCCCTTGTGTTTGTCAGCATAAAGGGCTGCTTGTCCCTGCGGGGAGCAGCATCCCGCAACCCTCATCCCAGGCCCCATCACAGCTGAGGGAAACTGAGGCACGGAAGGAGGAGGGAAAGACACCGTGTGAGCACCCCTGGTCTGCTGCCATAAAGAACTATTAGGGCTGCTCCATCGCAGGTCGGGAAACCCCAGAAGGTCTTGGGGGTCACTGGAGGGAGAAGAAACAGCACCCAGCTCTGAATGAGAGGGAATCATCACCAGTGACAGGCCAGGAAGCAGCAGCGGCTCCCCCGTGTCCTGCCCATGGCATCAGTGCACTGCGGGCGCCGCTTGGGCTGGTGGAGGGGAGCACCTTTGCACATCCACGTGTTCCCATCGCAGCAGTGTTTGCAGTAGGCACCCAGGCGTGGTTATTGCAGGTGAACTTCAGTCCCGTTCCCAGCACCGTCAGCACGAGGCGGTCCCATGCATGGGAAAACCGGTGTCCCGCAGATGTCCCTGCTCTGTCACCTTCACTGCTCGACACCAGGAGCAGGCTTGGAGGACCACCAAGCCCATAGGGGCACTAAAACACACGTTCCCCCCCCATGGCTGCCCCGTCCATCCGATGTGGTTACCCTGGGAAGGGTTAAAGCCCGGTCCTGCTGGCGTTCCGTGTGGCACATCCGGCTGAGCCAGCGCCGGAGCCAGCTCCTTCCTTTACCTTTATGCAGGCAGCGGGGAGGCAGCGAGGAGGTCACCGTGCTCTTGGCACCCCCAGCGCCAGGGTCCATCCAGGTTGGGTTGCCCAAGGGGAAGGGTGTCCTGCAGCCGGGGGCAGAAGGCGGATGAGAGCCATGGGATGTGCGGCCCCGCTCGGGAGCCGCTTCCATGGGAGCGGGCGCGCAGGGAGAGGTGCGGGGAGCCAGCAATGTGCTGGAGCAACAGAGCAGTGTGGGAACAGAGAGGAGCTGTGTGCGTCTGCCTTTTATTGCAGGTTCGCTGTTGCCGGGGAGAGGCTTTAGGCTGTCCTCCAGCTAATTCACACCAGAGAGACAAGCGCTTGAATTAGCTGCATTATCTGCGCCCGGCTAAAAGTGGACAAAGGATTAAAGTGTGCTGAGCACCAGCACCGTGATTTGCATCTCAGAGCCCCTTCCCACGGGCACCACCTCCCCCGTTCTGCTCCCAGCCTTGTTTTCTGTCCTTTGGGCTAGGAGCCAGCACCAGAGCCCTGCTCCCAGGAGTGATGCCGAGGTTAACATTGCAAAAGGCTGCATCAAGGCTTTCGGTGGCTGCTGAAGCAGAAGCGTGGGCCCTGAGCTGCACACACAGGGGATGAGCTGCCCGCGCAGCCACACGCTCGCCACCCTCCGCTTTGACCCATCCTTGTCTCAACCCGAGGTATGGAACTTTCTGCCCCATGGCATATAGGAGCTAACGAGTAGAGGCAAACTGCTGCTCACCTTTAAAGCTGCACACCAAGCCCAGACGTGGCTATTTCTTCTAGGAAAAATCAATATTGGAGAGCTAGATCAATACTGCACTCTGCTGTGACCTTATGGGCACTTCTCTGAGCTCATCCAGCTGGCAAAGGTGGTTTTTCCTTATGCATGTTTATTCATGTGGATGGGGAATGTTATTGCGATGCCTTTCTTGCAGCCAGCCTCAAGGCTGGGGTGTCTCTGAAGAAGCTTTAACCAGAGGTAAAGCAAAATCCTCTCTGCGATCACCGCATCCTAATGATCTAATGGCTTTCAAACTGGTTTTTCCCCACTAGCACTGTGTGGGGAGGTGCAGCCTCCCTGCCAGCTCCGCACCAGCCCTGCTGCCACACGCAGGCTTTATGTGGTTCTGTTGTTCTTGGCACTGGCAGGGTTTTTCCTCCTCTTCCGGGCACAGCACGATGTGACCTTAGCCATTGCCAGCAAGGGGACTCCATATGATGAAAGCAGGTGAAAGGGAAAATAAGGGAGGGAATTAGGCAAGGCCGATTCATTCCTCCGAGGAGGTGTGGTCCTGCCCTGTACCTGCCTGTGGTCACGGGCTTGTGAAATATAAAAGGGGAAGGCAGTTGTTTCTGAAGCAATCCGTTGCCAGGATCCCGTGGCGAGAATGAAGGGAGGTGCTAGGAGAAATGCAGAGCAAGAGGTCTAAGGAGCCAGCCGCAAAGGTGTGGGACGCTCCGGTGCCTCTGAGCCTTGGGAATACCATCAGCTCTGCCCCATAGGCCCCTTGGCTGGGCTGAGGGTTGCATGGTAGCTGCCCTTCCTTCCCCAGCAGGCTGGCTTGGGAGGAGAAAGAAGCCGTCATGTCCCAAGGAGGAGCAGGGGAACGCAAAGCTGCCAAGCCCCAGGACCAGGGCTGGGCATGGATGGTGCTGCTGGCTGCGGTGGTGCTGCAGGGGATGACGCTGGGCTTCCCCCCCTGCATTGGCATCTTCTTCACGGACCTGCAGCGAGACTTCCAGGCCAGCAACAGTGAGACATCGTGGTTCCCCTCCATCATGGTGGCCGTGCTGCATGGAGGCGGTAAGTGATGGGGATGCCCTCCACCACCTCAGTTTCCACAGGTACCAAGCTCCCTTTTACCACTCTAAGAGACACCCAAGCCCCTTGGTCAAAGGAGGTGAATCCCTTTCTCTCCCAGCTTTTCCATACCACTGAGAACTGAGTTATTTCCCATAGCAGCTCTTTGAATAGGCCAGCAGGTAGCTCTGAAGCTTGAGTGCCTCCTTGATTCATCTCCCAACCGTGAGAACACATCCCTTATATTCCCCATGACAAGTGTGCTCTTCGTGGCTGAAACACGCCTCAAGCCAAGCTCCTCCAGGCTGCTGGCTGAGCATTAAACCAGCTCCCTGGGCGGTGGCATTGGGTGCACACCCAGGCAGGGTGGATGGGAGCTGGACTGATGCAGGATGCGGGTCAGGAGGCAGCCTCCGGGTGAAGGGGGTGGAAGGAGGGTTGTGCTATGTGCGTTGTGGAGGGAATCACTGGGGTTTCCCCCTGAGAAGATGCAGGAGGTCATGGGACATGCAATAAGACATCTATTGACCTCTCTTTTCTGTAGGAGGTTGGGACCACACGAAAAGGTGCTATAAAGACAGCCAATAAATAGATCTAAAAGTTATAACTTAGACAAGGAAAGAACAGCCTCATGCTAATGACATCTAGGAACAGAATTTGCCAGGGCACAGTCAGTGAGTTACAGTGCTTGCCAGTTCCATCTCCTATCGCAGGCTGTTGCAGCAGGGGAGTGCTCATTCTTGTCCCCCAGGAGTAAGGCAGGAGTAGCACAACCAGGAGAAAAACAACAAAAACCAGACATGAAAGACTTCAACTTTGCTGCAGCTTCTGAGCTCCTTTGTGCTGGGCCAGGCTCTGCTTGGTTCGGGTTCCCCAGTTACATCCATCATCCTAAACCGCACTCTGCAGCGTCGCCGGTGCCTCTTGAAGATGCTGCTCTCTTTTCTTCTCCTTTATTCTTTCTAATTCCAAGGAACTGAAGGGAAAAGCAATATTTGTGGCAAACATGGGCAAAGGGGCAGGGAAATGGACAGAGGGGCCCGTTCTCAGGGTGGTCAGCGCAGGGAGAAGGTCCCATGCAGGAGAGCTATGGAAGGGGGCAAGGAAGGACCCAGTGCAAACAGTAACTCACCAGTTAGGAAGCCAAACCTATCTCATTAGGTAAAGGCAATGAATGGTTATTTTGTTATAAGAATCATTTGAGAGACCTCAGGATCCTGTGGCCATCTCCAAAAGGGGAGTTCAGGCCCCACGGGTTCCTGCTCCTCCATATTCACACACACGCAACTCTCAACTCACACTCATACAAACACAGCACTTCTGTTGCTATTATTTCTGCAAAGGAAAGCACAAAAGCCTCAGGCAAGTGAGAAGGAACGTTTGAAAGCTAGGAAGGAAGTTCACAGGAATAAGTAATGAAAATCCCCTCTGCTTTTAGAGCCATTCTCATTGCTTTGGAATGTTCAATCCATGACTTAGAATCATAGCATCCCAGAGTGGTTTGGGTTGGAAAGGAGCTTAAGCTCATCCAGTTCCAACCCCCCTGCCATGGACAGGGATGCCTCACACTAAACCATCTCACCCAAGGTTCTGTCCAACCTGGCCTTGAACACTGCCAGGGATGGAGCATTCACAACCTCCCTGGGGAACCCATCCCAGTGCCTCACCACCCTCACAGGAAAGAATTTCCTCCTTATATCCAATCTAAACTTCCCCTGTTTCAGTTTGAACACATTACCCCTTCTCCTATCACTACAGTCCCTGATGAAGATTCCATCCCAGCACCCCTGTAGGCCCCCTTCAGATACTGGAAGGCTGCTATGAGGTCTCCATGCAGCTTCTCTTCTCCAGGCTGAACAGCCCCAACTTTCTCAGCCTATCTTCATACAGGAGCTGCTCCAGTCCCCTGATCATCCTCGTGGCCTCCTCTGGACTTGTTCCAACAGATCCATGTCCTTTTTATGTTGAGGACACCAGAACTGCACACAGTGCTCCAAGTGAGGTCTCACGAGAGCAGAGGGGCAGGATCACCTCCCTTGACCTGCTGGTCATGCTCCTTTTGACTTCTGGCTACTGGGGCTGCTTAAACTGCAGAACCATCCTTGATGTCTTTAGCAGGATGCAAATAACGCAGTCACCATTTGCTTCAAAGTCTGAGGTGTCTCCCAAGCAGATCAAGATACAGGCAGCTGCTCTCCTCATTTAATCACGTTCCCCTGTTTGCTCCATTATGTGGGTTCTATTTCAAAGCAGTCATTGACTTGGGGCACAGATATGCCATGGGTTATTTTCCCTGCACTGCCTGACACCTAATTCTGAAACTCAGAGTCATTTGGCCTTTGCTCATATAACCTGAAGTGTCTGGATGAGGGGAAACCCAACAAACCCTGGAAAAACCTGAACATCCTCAAAGGAATGGAAAAAGAAACCCAGATCCTCTTCTCGTGCAGGCAGAACCCTGTTTCCCAGCAGTGGGCTGCAGGTCTGAGCTCACTTTTTCCTACCCCAAAAACAAAGGATGCTCAATGACATTCACAACCTGGGCATTTACCACAACCCCATGGAATTCACCAGAACTCTATGAAAAGTAAAGAATTATCTGACCTTAAACATCCCCCCATGGCTGTTTGTTGTTTTCCTGATGAAATAACACAACTCTCTGCTCTAAAGCCTGCCAGCAATGTTGGTGCACAATACAACACAGGTTTGGGCCCATGAAGGGCAGAGGTGGGCTCTGGTCCACTAGAACAACCCAGCTCTCACTCCCACCTCCACACTGCTTGCGCTGGAGTAGAAGTGGGACCCGGGATGTGCATGGTCTGCTCCTAGGCTTATCCTGTTGGAAGTGGGTGCAGTGAAACCTCCCCACCCTGCCAGGTATCCCAGGACAGGAATGAGCAAAGAGCTGTGTGACAATAACATGGGATTACCCTGGAGAAGATGAGCTGCAGGACAGCTGCAGGGTCCCACAAGCTGCAGCCTGGGTGCTACTGCCTGAAGCTTAGATGGGTTCCCATGTAGGCATGAATACACCTCTCCAGCTGTATTCAAATGATCCTCCTCAGTGATGCCAGTTTTCTCCCATTCTTGGTCTAGTTCAGGGTCAATCTGTCTCCTCTTGCAAGGGGTTTCACCAAGGTAGCAGCGCACCACAGGCAATGTAGGAGATTTTGTGGCAGGGTATTTGAAACACACAGTGAAATGAGTGCAAATGCACAAAAAGAAACATCATCCTGCTTAGCATCTCTTACTCGGAGGCTCAGAAATCCAATCCTTCCCTTTCTCAAATCATCCCCTGAATTTATACCATGCAAGAACAGAATTACACTTGAAAGTCCTTCTTCTCTTCCATTTCCAACCATTTTAACTAAAATCCAGCACAGGGAAGCTTAGAAACCCTACTGGATGGCCAAAAGCCAAGCAGATCACAGGAGCCTTCCCCATAGCTAACAAGCCCTTGGGAGGATCAGGGAATATATATTCCCTCCCTTCTGCTGCTGGGACAACCCTCAGGGTCTCTAGACCAAACCACTGGGGTAAGTGCAGCAATCCAAGCAGGTCCAAAGAATTCCCTTCTTCCCTAACTGCTTCCCTTTTCCTCTTTGGTGCCAGGGCCCCTCTGCAGCATCCTGGTGAAGCGCTTTGGCTGCAGGTTTGCAGTGATGCTGGGGGGCCTGCTCAGCGGCGTGGGCATGGTGGCCAGCTCCTTCTGCAGGTCCATCAGCCAGCTGTACATCACTGCTGGCTTCATCACGGGTGAGTACCACGGCAAACCTGGATGCTCAGCTTGACCTGAGAGATGGGGAATGGTGATTCCCAACTCATGTTTTTCTACTCATCCATGAAATGGGATCAATCAGGAGCAGCAGGAATCACAGAGCAGGCAGATTTACCCTTCACACCCCTCATGCAGCCAAGCTCCCTGCAAAGTGCTTCTCTCTGGAGAAACCTTCAGGTCTCCAGCAGGCAAAATGGACAGCAAGGATGCCTGGTCTGTTTAGTAGCACCTCAGCCTTTTGGCTGTGAAGAAGGGAGGGGGTTTTCAACCTTGGAATGTAATGTTGGGATAATGTGACCTATGATAACGTCCCTCCCAAGTTCCCTGGGCTTGTATTTCACCACTCCCAGTCAGGGGCAATGCGCAGACATCTTTTCCTAACAAAAGAACATGTTGGTTTTGAACAGAAGCAACAGATGGGAACTTCTCCTTTACAAATATTTCTCCTCTGTGACTGATGTTCAACTCTTGGGTTTTTTCTAACACAAAGAAGTTCATTTCCTCAGCCAGGCTGCTTTGGGACTAATCCCATTGGATCCTGCAAACTAAATGGTGTCCATTGCATAGAGAGAAAACCAAGTAACTCCCTGAATCATAGAATCATAGAATAGTTAGGGTTGGAAAGGACCTTAATATCATCAAGTTCCAACCCCCCTGCCATGGGCAGGGACACCTCACACTAAAACATCTCACCCAAGGCTTCGTCCAACCTGGCCTTGAACACTGCCAGGGATGGAGCATTCACAACCTCCTTGGGCAACCCATTCCAGTGCCTCACCACCCTCACAGGAAAGAATTTCCTCCTTATATCCAATCTAAACTTCCCCTGTTTAAGTTTGAACCCATTACCCCTTGTCCTATCACTACAGTCCCTAATGAAGAGTCCCTCCCCAGCATCCCTATAGTCCTGATGGAAGTGTCAGGAAAGCAGTCAGTATAAGCAGTTTCTAATGAACAATTCCATGACAATTTTAGGAACAGCAGCCTGCCCCAGACAAATGCCAGCTTGGATCAGTTTACTTAGTGTAGAACACAAGTAGTTTAATTTATGCACAGCATCACTTCTGTGGCGTTTGTGAGTGTAAATCACAGCGGGTCATGAGCCTCACAGCCTGGTTTGGGTTGGAAGGGACCTTAAAGCTCATCCAGTTCCAACCCCTGCCCCAGGCAGGGACCCCTTCCACTGGAGCAGCTTGCTCCAAGCCCCTGTGTCCAACCTGGCCTTGAGCACTGCCAGGGATGGGGCAGCCACAGCTTCTCTGGGCACCCTGTGCCAGCGCCTCAGCACCCTCACAGGGAAGAGCTTCTGCCTAAGAGCTCAGCTCAGTCTCCCCTCTGGCAGGTTAAAGCCATTCCCCTTGGCCTGTCTCACCTGTGTCTAAACCCTGGATTTAGGCTCTTTAAGGCAACACAGATGGGTCCTGTGCTGTCATTTGCTCTTTTATTCTTACCTTTAGGCCTGGGGTCGTGTTTCAGCTTCCAGGCAGGAGTGACTGCACTGGGATACTACTTTGTACGGTGGCGAACACTGGCCAATGCCATGGCATCCACTGGCGTCTCTCTGGGTTTCACGCTGTGGCCACTGCTTTCTCAATACCTGCTGGATGAGATGGGCTGGAGAAACACTTTCCTTATCTTTGGAGGAATACTATTGAACTGCTGTGTCTGTGGAGCCATCATGAGACCAGTTCAGCCCGCCTCAGGGTCACTACTCCAGTCACCCCAGCCTGGAGAGGAGCCGAGGAGAAGAGCAGAAGAGACACAGCTGTCCAATGGAGCATCTTCTCCCCACCACGAGCTCCAGAAGCAAAGCAGGAGGACTGCATGCTTCCACGTGCTGCAGAAGTACCTGGCTTTTGACATCTTCTGTCAAAACAAAGGTTACCAGATTTACACTATTGGCGTGACCTGGATGATGATGGGGTTCGCGTTACCGCACATCTACCTTGTGCCTTACGCCATCCGGAATGGGGTGGAGGAGCGCAGGGCAGCCCTCCTCATCTCTGTCATTGGGTTCATCAACATCTTCATACGGCCCTTCACGGGGCTGCTCTCGGGACACAAACTCTTCTCAGGGAGACGAATCTACCTGTTCAGCCTGGCCGTGCTCCTCTGCGGGCTGAGCAACTTCATCTGCGTGGTCTCGGCTGAGTTCAGCGTGCTCATCATCTACTGCGTCATCCTCAGCATCGCCATGAGCGGCATCGGGGCACTCACCTTCCAGGTGCTGATGGACGTGGTGGAGATGGACCGGTTCTCGAGCGCTCTGGGGCTCTTCACCATCCTGGAGAGCATCACGCTCCTCATCGGACCCCCTCTCACAGGTGAGAAGCTGTTAAACAGGCTGGGTTGTTCAGACACTGGTGGGAAGTGTTTGGGAGCTTAAGAAGAGAAGCAAGGGAGATTCCAAACCCATGCAGGCAGGTGAGTTACTCAGAGGGAGTGATAGAAAAGGGAGAATCAGAGAGGAAGGATCAGCCCTTTCTCAGAGCTGAAGGAGGGTCCTTCTGCGGCTGCCCAAGTGTCACTGCAGCAGTCTGATAGGTACGGGTGTGACTGATCAGAGCTTTGTTGCAGCGAGCAGCAATACAGAGAGGAGTTACTGTAGTAGGATCTTGCTGTCTCTGAACTCTTTCACTGCTTTGCCAGTTTGCACTGTTTCATCTGTGAAGTCTCAAGGACTCATGAACATCCCATTAAACAAACAAACTGCGATCACAATTCACACCAGCCCTACACAGCTCAAGAGCCATACAGCAACAGCTTCCATTCACTCTGCTTTCCAAGTTCTAGAGGGTTTCAATTTTACTCTGGAGACAAGAAAGGAGCTAGATATGAACCCAAAGCCAATCAATGATTCACAGCTGTCACAGCTCACTCCTGCACCTACCTGCTCCTGCAGCACAGCAGCGAATCCAAAAGGCTAACAAACAAGAAACAAACCTGAGCATGAAGCAGGCTTTAGTTGTGTTCTCCAGACAATGAGCTCTGTGCCACTCAGCAGGAAAGTACTCTCTGTTGTAAGGACGGGATGAAACCATACACCATATTGCATGGTATTCCTTGGCATTAGTGGGTCAGTCACTTTTCTGAGGGGGCCAAAAAGGTTTTTCCTTGGACATCCCTCAAAGGAATGGCAGATAGGCAAAACAAAGGCCAGTGACAGCAGCACCAGTTCCATTTGTAGCCTGAAAATCTGCTAAAGTGCACCAGGAAAAGGAACATCACCAATCTTTACTGAAGAACACAAGCAAGCAAACAGCAGTTGTTGTAATACATTCCAGTACTTCCATTTAAATAAGTAGATTATGGAAAGCATCATCCGCTTGACCTGGGTATCACCTTTCCATCTCCAACATTAGTGTAAGGTTACTCATTCGATGTCCCACATCAAATGGTTTATACTGAAGGCACTTCATGTTAGGCATAATGCTAGCTCTGCTGTGAATGTTCTTCTCCCTGGTTACACACTATTAGAGACTCTAACCTGTTCATTCAGGAGGGGTTTCTCTATTTACTTGTTCTGTTTTCTGACCTGGTATATAACAGGGTCCCTCGCCCCAAAATCCAGTGCTTGGCACAGGGTCCTCTGCTGAGTGAACAAAATGAATCAGCACATCGGGGAAAACTCAGCTTCTTTTCTTCCCTTGGTTCCCCTGTGTGTTATGATATACCTGGTACGAAAGCAGAACCATCACTTAGGTCGTGACTATAAAACACAACCAACCCCTGCAATCTAGAGGAGAGAATTCAACTCATCTGTGAATGCTCATCTCTCAAATATGGCACTTTGCTGACTGATTCAGGTTTGACATCTATGTTAATGTCACCCTGTTGCCTTTGGTGTCCATCTTCTCTTTGGCTAAGCTGTGGCTTCTATTTCAGGTCTCCTGGTAGACGTAACTAATGACTTCCACTACGTCTTCTACAACTCCAGCTTCTTCCTCATCTCAGCAGCGTTGTTCATGGCTCTCACCTTCTGTGCTCTGGAAAAGAAAACCAAATTGAAAGAGGCTTCCAAAGTACCCGTGGATAATCCTTCCAGCTATCAGTACAGTGAAATGCCAACTGAATCACAGCCTGGGAATCAGCCCCCTCCAGCAGTCGTGTACATCACAAGCATATGAAGAGCAAGAGGACAAATAGAGAGGAACACAAAGAATTATGTGGCCTGTACAAAGCTCCACACGGCCCAGCACTGATGGCAGATGAGAAAACAAGTGGCTGCTTTCCACAACTGCCGTCATCCTTCTCTATGGGGCCGTGTCAGACTCCAAGTGAGTGCTCTGGACCATGGGCTGAGCCCAGAACCCAGCGCCAGCCAAAGAGATGAAGGACAAAGAGAACTGTGCTTCCCCAAAGCAAACCCTGGGATAACAGCCATGGTAACCAGCTCCGAGACACAAAAGCCGTGTCAGTTCAATTGGTGTAAGTCAGTGCCTTTAAGTCACTGGAATCTCACATGCACATTCCAGTGGGTAACACTGGATAATACGCATTGATGGCTATGCACAACGGTCATTCTTCCACAAAGAAGTATTATTGCCTCATCCGAACACATGATGTGGTGCAGAATATAGAGTTTCCTGGTTGCTTCCCATGTTGCGGGTGGCAGCTTCCACAGGGAGGCTGTTGTTGTTTTCCACATCTCTAAATATTACATGGAAGCTGCTGCAGAACTCAGCCAAGTAAGGGCAAATAGTTCCTTCTATGAGGCACATACACAAGGGCTTCAGGCCAAGGATGTTTCCAAAGCCTCCAAGGTTCAGCTCCAGAGCATCCAAAAGAAACAACCCAACCAACCTTACAGCGCCTGCTCTGTGTAACCAGTGACATCTCGAGTGCTTCTTGATGTACCAGGAACAGGATTTGTGGCTGGTGTGAATACAGCTCTTTTCAGTATGAACGGGGACCCATTGCAGGGGGGGAGTGGTAGCAAAGGTGTCACTAGAGCTAAGAACAAGTGTGTGCATCCTTAGAGAGGGACAGATTCAAAGCCACTGCAGTAAGTGAATTTGTAGTGCACAAAGCCTTTGTGTAAATGAATTTAGCTTAGACTCATGATGCCAGCATTCTCTATATTACAGAGTGCTTGCACAAGCATAACTACATTTCTTATAAGCACAAGCATGACTTACAAAGGAATCTGTTGGGAAAAGTATATTGGGAAAAGTCAATGTCACTGACTTCCATACCCATATAGCACCGATTGTAATAGCTCTTCTTGCTCCACTCCTGGGAATTGCAATCATAACTGAGAGCTGCATCAGCTTCTAGCCTCCCTCAGCACCAGCTTGGGTTGCACAATGTTTATGTTCTCTATCATTCCTTATCTGACAGGAACAGATAATACAATCACAAAATTGATTAGGTTGGAAAAGACCTTTAAGATCATTTGAGTCCAAATGTTAACCCAGCACTGCCCAGTCCACCACTAAACTACATCTCTCAGTGCCACAGCATTTAAATCCCTCCAGGGACGGTGGCTCCATCACTGCCCTGGCAGCTTGTTCCAATGCTTAACAACCCTTTCCAACCTAAACCTCCCCTGGAGCAACTTGAGCAATTTCCCCTTGTCTTATCCCTTGTTACTTGGGAAAAGAGACCAGCATTCACCTTGGTACATCCTCCTGTCAGGCAGTTGTATGCAGTGATCAGGTCCCCCCTGAGCCTTCTCTTCTCCACACTGAACCCCCCAGCTCCCTCAGCCCTTCCCCATCACCCTTGTGCTCCAGGCCCTGCTCCAGCTCCATTCCCTTCTCTGGCCCTGCTCCAGCCCCTCAGTGTCTCTCTTGCAGTGAGGGGCCCAGAGCTGAACACAGGATTTGAGGTGCGGCCTCACCAGTGCCCAGTGCAGGGGCACAATCCCTGCCCTGGTCCTGCTGCCGCACTGGTGCCGGTACAGGCCAGGGGGCTTCTTGGCTGCCTGGGCACACACTGCTCATACAGCTCACAAAGCACTGCGGATGGAGACTACTCAACACATCAGAACCATCAGAGAGACAGAAGTGTAACACGGGAGTGAGATGGAAGAGGTATCAGCCCTTCAGAGGGGTTACTGCTCCCACCTCTCAGCATCCTCTTCAGTGCCTCTCTGGGATTACTGAACCAGCAGGCTTTGCACTTCCTGATCAAACACACATAAAACAACCAGTGGGAGACCATACACATCTAATCTCTTGTCACACATGGTTATTAACTTGTGTAATGCTTACATGGTCCAGAAGTGCAAAGCAAACAGCAACTGGTGCTTCTCAGCTTACGGAAACAGTGACTGCTGTACATTCCTAGGACAAAGATGGGGCTTTCTCCCTTCCTCCCCAAAAGATCAATGACAAGGGTGAAGTCCCAAACCTTTCCTAGCTATTGCAAATAAAAGACCCACGCTGCTGAACAGATTGCTGCTCTCCTGGGTGTAATTCTTACATTTTAAGTTCTGTTCACCTTTCTACACACCCTGTTTTCTTCCAGAAATATGGGGTTATATTGTCCCACATCTCCTGTGTCCTACAGATACCATGGGCAAAACAGGTAAAAGATGGTGTAAGCCACAACCCATCAGTTTATCCCAGCAAAACAAAGGTTAGTTGGAGGAGCAATGGAATACATCTTTGTGGAGCCAACCCCTCCATCTGCAATGCTTTAGTCCTAGAGCTGGTTCACAAGCAGGGAAATGCGTCATCTAATGCATGCTTGTGAGGTAGGAAGGAAAAGTACTCACCCACTGAAGCTGGCACACAGAGGCCAGCTCCTCCTACAGCACTGCCTAGAGATGTGCTTTGGCTGTTTCCTAGCTGTGCACAGCAGTGGAGGATAATTCAGGAGGGGAAGTTAGGAGAGTGCTTTGTAGATCCAGACTGGGGTTTAGCTGCAGGTAAAGCAGGGATGTTTCTGGGAAGGAATTCCATTATTGTAATGTTCTCAACTCGTTCACTGTAAACTTTCTACTGGCCTTACAGAACATGAGCTGCCTCCAAAGAGGGCTGCTTGCATCCCACAGACCCTTTACAAGTCATCCACAGCCCACAGCTTGGGGATAAAGCTTGCAGAGGGAAGAGGCAACACTTGAGGCTGTGTTTCCAGGGGTAAATCAGACGTCTGAGCTCCCATGATAGAGGAAATTACCCCCCTCCTCCATCTGCCCACCTCTCCTAGCTCTCTTTTCAACCTGAACTCCAAGCTGCCTTGAGCAGGAGCTTGTGAAGCATAACTGAAGGGACCATGCATAACAACCATATGCACTGGAATAACAACTCCCCCTCAGAGCTATCACACAGAGCAATAACGCTCAGTCCTTAAGGATCAAGAGGCCCAGAAGGAAAACAAAGCAATAAAAGCTCCTTTCATTAGCTTAAGGTTGTCCCATTATGCAAAGGCAACTCCCCCCCTGAAGCAGGGTTTGTTTAACACCTACAGACAGTAAAATAACCCTGGCTCTAAGAACGGACAAGCACTTATACCTCAACCAGGTAGAACAACCCAACTTGACCAGAATTGAATGTCCCAAGCTCCCCACGTCCCCTCTTGCTCCCTTTATCATTTAAGGTATCATTGACCTTGCAAGGTAAGCATTTCTGCACCCAGCACCTTTCCTTACTGCAATGAAACATTCACCAGGAAGTTCACACTGAACTGGTGCAGGATCATGGTCCTTCAGAGCCAAAATAGGGCTTGGGGAAGTTTAATACAAACCCAAAGGAAGGTCACAGTGAACTTAACGCTCTGAAACACCTCAGAAGGGCAAAAGCCCCTAAATGAAGGGCTTGGCATCCTGCCTGCAGACCTGGTTAGTGGCTGCAAGAAGGGAAACATAACTACTAGGAGTAGTAGTGCTTCTATTGAATCCTACCTTGCAATGTCACTATAGACCAGCCCCTGGAGCTATAGCAGTCATTCTGCACCAACTCTTCTGGCTAACAGCAAGTGCTTGGAGCATTCAGAGGATTAAACATAGACTAGAATCACAGAATGGTTTGGGTTGGAAAGGACCTTAGGGTCATCCAGTTCCAACCCCCTGCCGTGAGCAGGGGCACCTCACACTAAACCGGAGCACCCAAGGCCTCATCCAACCTCTCCTTGAACACTGCCAGGGATGGAGCATTCACAACCTCCCTGGGCAACCCATTCCAGTGCCTCACCACCCTAACAGGAAATAATTTCCTCCTTATATCCAATCTAAACTTCCCCTGTTTAAGTTTGAACCCGTTACCCCTTGTCCTATCACTACAGTCCCTAATGAAGAGTCCATCCCCAGCATCCCTATAGGCCCCCTTCAGATACTGGAAGGCTGCTCTGAGGTCTCCACGCAGCCTTCTCTTCTCCAGGCTGAACAGCCCCAACTTTCTCAGCCTGTCTCCATATGGGAGGTGCTCCAGTCCCTGATCATCCTCATGGCCTCCTCTGGACTTGTTCCAACAGTTCCATGTCCATTAGACATATAGGACAGTCTTGGGTGAGTGAACGGCCAACTCCTGCTACTGCCAAGTGACCTGTCTGGATGATCTGGCCAGACTCCCCACAGTAAGTCAGCACAAAGACAAGCAGCACAGTGCCAGCAGCAGAGCAGGTCGGGTGGTCAGGACTGGTGTGGGCTGTTGGCTCTTGCAAAGAGCCTCTGCTGTCAACCTCTCCTCCCAGAGGCAGCTGCAACACAGCAAAGGGAAGATAAAGCATCCCTCACCTCTCCCAGCCAGCCCTGGTGGACCCCAATGCCAGACAAAGGCTGGAAGGAGCTCAGCTCGCAGTCCCCAGGGTGTTCCTCTCTCCTGGTTACCTCTTGCCATGCACTGAATAGTGTGACCTGGAGATGGGTCACCGGGAGCAGACACCAGCCTTTCCTAAGCACCGCTGCCTATGAAACCATGCCAGGGGACAAAGTTCCTCCTGTGCATGCAAAATGATCCTGACAGACACGAGTCATTGCATTTTTCCTCTTCAAACACAGGGTTTCACCCCTTATTAGTCAAGCCCAGCATCCTTAATCACCTCTCTTTGTGCTGTGTTTGCTTTCTCTTCCCCTGCTTTCTCCCATTAGTCATTCACTTTCCGTGTAATGACGGATGTGGCTTTAAAGTGTGTCAATACCTGCCACTTACACAGGCATACGTTAAGGGGTTTGTTAATGCACTGGTAAAGCACTCTGATATAGGAGTTGTCTGTAGCACCTTTGTGGCTGCTTTCATGTATATACACATATCCACACACACATACAAACACATACATATATAGACATACATATATATACACATATATATATCCACACACATGTATAGACATACCTATATATACACATGTATATACACACACACAGATAGATATACACAGACATATATACACATATATAGACATACCTCTATATTAACATACATATACACACACATAGACATACCTATACATACACATACATATACATATATATACACATATACAGACATACCTATACATACACGTACCTATACATACACACATATGTACATGTATATAGACATACCTATACATACATGTACATATATACACACACATACAGATAAACATAAATACGGGCCTATAAGGATGCTGGGGAGGGACTCTTCATTAGGGACTGTAGTGATAGGACAAGGGGTGATGGGTTAAAACTTAAACAGGAGAAGTTTAGATTGGATATAAGGAGGAAATTCTTTCCTGTTAGGGTGCTGAGGCACTGGAATGGGTTGTCCAGGGAGGTTGTGAATGCTCCATCCCTGGCAGTGTTCAAGGCCAGGTTGGACAGAACCTTGGGTGAGATGGTTTAGTGTGAGGTGTCCCTGCCCATAGCAGGGGGGTTGGAACTGGATGATCTTAAGGTCCTTTCCAACCCAAACCATTCTATAATTTGATATATATATACACACACCAAGTTGAGAGAGTTGGAGCTGCTAGCACAGGCCTGGCTTAAATCTTTATACCAGTTATAAACAAACACCTTCCCTTTCTCATTCTCTGCCTTTCCACAGCACTGCAATGTTACAAGCTTTAGCAACCCTGCACTCACTGTAGGTCCTTTGCCCATCCTTCTATTGAACGTGGGCATGGGTGACTGCACCCAGCTGTATAACAGGGGATTAACAGCCCAACACACTCGCCACCAGTGCCACGTAACCAGTGCATTCGGCCAGCTCCAGTTTGCTTCCTGTGTGATAACACACAAGACAACCTGTTCCCTCCTTATCTAGCCAAGAACCTCCATGTGTTTAATTGCTCCAATAAAAGCAGCACGGATTTCTGCTGAGCTTGGCTACCTTTCCCTTACCTGTTTATAGCACATGAACCACACGAATCCACTCACGGCACCCGCAATCACAGCAGGTCACTGGCACTGGGCTGGCTCGGGCCCATGGGATCGCTCTGCTCCATGCTCAGACCAGGGCATTGCACAACCAGGATGCAGTTCCCTGCTGCTGCCTTCATTCATTCCTTGCCTCCACATTGCTTTCCCTTTAGTGTATCCTAGGGCACACATGGAAGTTCAGTGGATAGGGAACAGTGAGCGAGGCAAGGATAAAGCTGCTTCCCGGAGCAAGGTGTTTGAATAGCTGAGCTCGGCCGTACACCGAGATACAAGAAGCCAGCACCTCGGGCATGCTCGTTTATTGTGGTGGTGAACAGGTTACATGGTCCGTGGGGAAAGAGAGGAGGGAAACGGGGGAAGGAATGGGGGAAAAGGGAAAAAGTTGGAAAAGAAGGGAAAAGATATACAGGGGGAAAAGAAGAGGAAAAAAGGGAAAGGGGAAAAATGGGAAAATTGAAGAAAAAATGAGAAAAGGAGGAAAAGGGAAAAGAGGGGGAAAGAAATACAGAAAAAAAAGGGGGAAAAGGGAAAAATGAATAGAGGGGAAGAAGAGAAAGAAAGAGAAGGGAAAGAGAAGGGAAGAGAAAGGAAAAAATAGAAGAGAAAGGAAGAGAAAGAGAAGAGAAAGGAAAAGAAAGATAAAGGAAAAAAAGAGAAAGAAGAGAGAAGAGAAAGGAAGAGAAAGGAAAAAAAGAGAAGAGAAAGGAAGAGAGAAAAGAAAGGAAGAGAAAGGAAGAGAAAGAGAAAGGAAAAAAGAAGAGAAAGGAAGAGAAAGAGAAAAGAAAGAGAAAGAGAATGGAAAGGAAGGGAAAGGAAGAGAAAGAGAAGAGAAAGAGAAAAGAAAGAAAGAGAAGGGAAACATAAGAGAAAGAGAAGGGGAAAGTAACAGCAGGAGGAGGAGCCGCCTCTCCACGCCCCCAAGATGGCGGCGGCCGCGCCGGGCCCGGCTTGGTGCTGAGGAGGCCGCTCCGCCGCCGGCTCCGCTCCACGGCTCTCCCGGGCGCTGTGAGGTGCCGGTGCCCGTGCCGGGCCCGGTATGGAGCTGGGCCGGCTGGAGTACCTGCAGGCCCTGGTCACCGAGTTCCAGGCGACGGAGAGCGCAGGTACCGCGGCCGCGGCCGCCCCGCAGCCCCGTGCGGAGCCGCCCCGCGCTCAAGCGGCGCTTCTCTGTTGCAGAGGCCAAGGAGCAGGTGCTGGCCAACCTGGCCAACTTCGCCTACGACCCTGGCAACTACGAGCACCTGCGGCGGCTCCAGGTCCTGGACCTGTTCCTCGACATGCTGGGCGAGAGCAGCGACACCCTCGTGGAGTTCGCCATGGGTGAGGGGCGGCGCCGGCAGCATCCCGAGGGACAGCGGGGCCATGCTGGGGATTGGGGCTCGTATCCCTCCCGAGGGACAGAGGGGAGTCTGATGGGTGAACGGCCCCTTTCTGCGCTGGTACTGCCTCACTTAGCGGGGATGAGCGGAACGGGGGAGAGCTGGGATGGAAGCATCGGCCCTTCATCCTCATAGGGCTGCTGTGCTGCAGGATGGGTTCTTTACCCCCAACCTCGAACTGAACACAAACTGAGTGAGTTTTTAGTGAAATTGCACTCAATTTTAGTGAAATTTTGTGAAATTTTAGTGAATTTTAGTGAAATTAGTGACGGCCAATACCAGAATTGACAACCAAATTCCAACACTTACCTGAAATCTTGTAATAACTCCTCTAAGGAACTGCCTTACACTGACTCAGTGTGGTCCAAACAAACCAAAGGCCCAGATCCTAATTGTGAGTGATGCCGACCTGATAGTAAATACATCTGATGTTTAATGTTTGTGGCTGAGCTACACCAGGACATGGCTGCATCTTAAAGGGTCACGTTCGAGCATTCTGCACCTCTTGCCTTGTGCTGTTGGCTGAATTCTGTTTTCCTATAACACCTGCAGTGAACTCCAGGCTTTAGGCTCTGTTAGGGTTAAATAATGCTGGAGTCCGAGGCAGAGGTTATGTCCAGCAGTAACAGTGCCCTCTAATGACATAAAGCAGAAGGAATGTTCTGATGGAAAACGTTGCCCAGGAGCCGTTAAAGAGTTTTAGAATCATAGAATAGTTAGGGTTGGAAAGGACCTTAAGATCATCCAGTTCCAACCCCCCTGCCATGGGCAGGGACACCTCGCTCTAAACCATCTCACCCAAGGCCTCGTCCAACCTGGCCTTGAACACTGCCAGGGATGGAGCATTCACAACCTCCCTGGGCAACCCATTCCAGTGCCTCACCACCCTAACAGGAAAGAATTTCCTCCTTATATCCAATCTAAACTTCCCCTGTTTAAGTTTGAACCCATTACCCCTTGTCCTATCACTACAGTCCCTAATGAAGAGTCCATCCCCAGCATCCCTATAGGCCCCCTTCAGATACTGTAAGGCTGCTGTGAGGTCTCCACGCAGAATCTGGATTCTTATTCCTGTGTTAGGAAGAGGGCTCATCAGTGAACCTGACTCACAGCATGAAAAGCTGACGGGGTGAAGAGCTTGTCTCATGCATGTCAGATGCTTTCTCTCGCTGTTCCAGGGGGTCTGTGTAACCTGTGCCTGGATAAAACGAACAAAGACTACATCCTGGAGGCGAACGGGGTAGAGCCCATCATCAACTGCCTCTCCAGCGCCAACGAGGAGACCGTCATGTCGGCTGTCACGACGCTCATGTACCTGACGACGCCTCAGTCGCGGGAGCAGACCACGGCGCTGCCCGTGGTGGAGTGCATGCTGCGCTTCTCCCTCTCGGCCAGCAGAAGGCTGAGCAACCTGGCCACCGTGTTCCTGCAGGATTACTGCACCCCTCTGCAGGTGGAGGAGGCCCGGAGCCTGAGCAAACACACCGCCGTGGGCATTCCTCTCCCCAAGGACTGATGCTGTGTAGGCAGGACAGTGCAGATCATAGCATCAGCCAGGTTGGAAAAGCCCTTTCAGCTCAGCCAGTGCACCCCTTCCCCAGCACTGCCCAGGCCACCGCTAACCCATGGCACTGAGGGCTTCATCTGCATGGTTTTTGAGGGTTATTCCACCACTTTCTTAGGGAAAAAAGAGGGAGACACTTCCTGCTCAGCAGAATTGCGTCAAGAACATTAAAGAGGGAAACTGGTCGCAGCAGCACTGGATTTAGTTGCTAAAGAGGATGGACAGCACTGCCCCAACAGGGAGGCCAAGCACACAGCTAAAACTGAAAGCAAATACTTACAATAGCACAGGTCATGGACATTGGAGAGCAGGGTGCCAGTGCAGCCCAGCACCCAGCCTGCACAAAGAACCCTTCCCAGCAATGAGCGGGGGTTCTGCTTGGGTTACTGGGCACCTTATATCCCAGTCCAGTTCCTGCCTGGTGGGGCTGCAGCTCTCCAATGTCTACTCAAAGGACTTTAAATGTCTCATAAACGTTGTTCCTCCTTCAGAAGAAAGGTGTTTCCCTGCTCAGGCAGCCTGCAGTCTTCATGTACCCCTTTGGAACCAACTGTGCCATCTGTCATCGTGGCACAGACTGGTAAATCATTGCACAGGACTGTGTGTATCCTGTAAATGGGGAAGTGAAAAGCTGGTTTTCTTTCATTACCACTGGTGAGAAAGGAGATTAAAAGGAGGGCCCATGGCAGCCCGGCTCATGAGAGCAGCTGTCTTGTAAAACCTTCTCCTAATAAAACATTAACTTCAGTGCTGTGTAAACAGTTTGGTGTAAGCTCATAAATACTTCTCTCCAGCAGTTGCAGCCCAGCCTTCGCCCACTCTTACTCACGCACATGGGCCAGAAATGGAAGCCAGCTTCGTGTCCTTTCTTCATCAGCCAGCGCTGCAAAAGGTAGCCCAAAAGCCAGGCTGGCTAAATCCATAACATCAGCAGGGTCTGGCTGTTGCAGTGTTCCCTGACAGGCACCCTCGCTGTGTCTGCTCAAGTTTCAGAGCTTTACTTCCTCTTTTTTCTTCCATTCCACCCCCAGGGGGCCCAAAGCAAACAGGACTGAGGTTAAGAACACACACACACAAATACAACCCACGGCTGCTTGTATTTTACCGTTTCACCAGCAACAAACACCCCAACCTCTACAGACATAACTGCAAAGCAATCTTCCAGACACGTGGAGCAGCAGCAGCCTGTCTAACAAAGGCAGCTCTTGTAACTGCTCCCCGAGTGCCTCTGCCTGGATGGGGACGCTCACTGCCTCCTGGGAATGGGATTCCCTGCCCACGGATGCGCAGTGGGAAGAGCACCCCCTCTGTGCACTACTGCCTGCGCTTGCTTTCCAAGATGCCCCTCCAGTCATCTGCCCAGGACAGCAGGCGCCTGCGGGGGGCCTGCAGCTGGATGTGCCTGTTGTGGCAGCAGGTAAAGAGGATGTGCTCCCAGCTCGGGTTCGGCTCTGCGCCTGTGGGTGACGGAGGAGAGCTGGGCTCAGGCAGGGGTTTCCTTCCTGGCTAACAGAGAGCGATGGAAGCGCTTTCCTAACCTGTAATGGTGTCCTTGTCGTCAAACAGCAAGTCCGCAGACACGATGGTCTTATCTCGGGTTAGAATAATCCGCTCCACAAACTCGGGTCCCAGATGTTTCTCTACCCACTTATACTGCAGAGGTAAGGAATGAGAGAAGACGCTGCTGTGCTTCAGCTCCACTCACATCAGCCCCAGCAGAGCAACCTTTCCCCTGCAGACCTACCTCCGTGTCCGTGAATCCTCACCGCAGAGACTGGCCATGGCCCAGGACACTGATTCAACCTGTTTTCTATCAGCAGCACTGTGCTTCCCATGCCTAACCACTACCCACGTTGTGAGCAGCACTGGCTGCTCACCAGAACGTGTGGATTGTGCCCATCCAAGTCATTCCAGGGATTAAGGTCCCCCTCTCTGTTCTAATGCAATGGCAAACAGGACCAATTCCAATGCTGAAGCCTCCGCTTAATTCAGCACTGGCTTCCTTCAGGACACTGCATTTAGACAGAATAAGGATTGAGGTTGGGTTGAGGATTCTCCCACCCGTATGGGCCATTCTACAGCAGTTCCTTCACTATCACCGGCTGGCACAGCTGGAGCAGCAGGGTCACATCATGCCAGCTCTGAGAGCATGGGGCACACATGCCCCACAGTAAGGACACTGGCACCATGTGGCACTCCGAGATTCCTGTGTCTGGGAAGCTGCCCCTCAGACAGAGACATCCAGGGAAGCCTGGGAGCTTGAGCCAGCCGCTGCCTTTGTAAATGCACTATTCTGACTTGGGTGATAAAACAAGGCCTTGCCAAAGCAGCAAAATAAACCCCACTAAACCAGATTCTCTCCCACCTTTTCCAGGACGCAGTGCTCGTAATTCCGGAGAGGACTTGTGCAAATAAAGACTTCAGTGCTGAAAAGAAACAGCATTATTTATTATACATCATACATCCCTTAGCAGGCAGGGGAAGGTGCATAAGATAATGGAGAAGGGCTACGGAGTGCAAAGCATCCTTACTCCTGCATGCGGATCATCTCCTGCAGAGCTTCCAGGGCTCCTGGAACAGGATCCAACCCTAGAAAGAAGCCAGGTGATTCATAGACACTGGCTACCTTAGCCTGCAAGAGACAGAAGGACAGTCAGCAAAGCCCACCCGTGCCTGTGTCCGAGCTCTGAGCATCACAGCTGTCCCCTCACCCCGGGTGTAACAGCCATCAAAGGGCAGTGATGCTGCACACCTAGAGGCCATTATAGCGTTTCTCACCTTCTGGGTTCTGGCTCAGGCACACAAGAAGGAGAAGTTCCTCTCTGGTGGCTTGTCTGGAGTGAGGAGGCAGAGCTGGTCCTGACCCTGCGCAGCACCACAGGCCCAGCTCTGCCCTACAGCTCTGGCTGGTGCCTGGTACAGGGGAGCTCACGGCTCACCCTTCCCAGCAGGTCTCTCTCTACTGCCTCTTGTGAGGCATCAAAGGAGCAAGCTGAAGGCTCCTGCTGCTCCGTCCCATCTGACTGGATGTGCTGGTGGCTCCGGAACCTGCCAGGGCTGAGTGGGCAGCAGCCACATCCCAGCAGCGTGAAAAGGGCTGAATCCAGACCTAAGCTTCATTCTCAAACAGAGAGCCCTAAAACATGGGAATCTGGGAATCTCGCCTTCCCTGGGGTCACAGGGAGCTCCAGCGGTGTCAAGGCAGCATTTTCCATTAGCTTAAAGTCAGACATTCCCAAAGTCTGGAATCTTAGTTCTCTGTATTTTTCAACCTGGCAGCTTCGCTTAGGAACTGTATCAGACTGCTTTATAGTCCAGCTGATGGGCTCCTTGCTCTGTTTCACCAGTGGAGCTTGGACATGAAGCCCATTCCAATTAAGCAGCAATGAGGAGTCAGCATTAAACAAGCCTCCTGGACCAGGGTGCTCTCTCAGCTCTCATAACCCAGCAGCCAGACATGTGAAAGCACTGCCTGATTCCTCATGCAGAGCAGAAGAGTGAAGATGTGGGGATCAGACCTGCACCGATCCCTGCTTCCAGGCAAAGCCTCATTGATTTCAGCAACAATTCCCTGGAGCTCTCCCCAAGGAGACTCAATTACAGGACCAGGGTTTGTATCGGAAAGCTCTTTTATCCAGTTTTGGTATAAACGGGCCAGTTTCCAGCGTGTCACCAGCAAGTCTGCCTTTGCTGGAGAACAGAACTGGAATTGATGACTTTCAGAACCAAAAACCCATTTTACCCACCCAAAAATGCGACAGCTCATTCTCATGCCATCATTGCTGAAGGTTTCCTCCTAACAGAGCGATGCTGTGCAGGGATGCTCCTGCACCAGCCTGGCAGAACTGAGGTCTCTATTTACAGCCACAGGATTCACATAAAGGAGCTTTAAAACTGTATAGTTGTGCCAAATGCACCTAAACCAGCCCAGAGATGCGGAGGTGACTGAAGGAGACAGACACACCACCACAAACCCCTCATTTCCTTAGGAAGGCAGGCTAATAACAGTGAGATAAGAGCTTTGTGCCACTGCTGATCTGCATGGAAATCAAACCAGCTACGTGGTTATTGCATTGACACACCTAAAGGTCTAGGAAGGAACAGGATGGGCATGAACCAAATTAGGGAATGGGAATGCCAGAAACAGAACAGGATGTGCCTTTCAGGACAGATCAGACTGTAGCCCTTCCACGACCCCTTAAATTACCTGCCTCTTTTTTGGTCCCTGTAATGGGATTCACTTAAGGAATGCTCACATCAGCAATAAATCACGTTTGGTTCTATAAATGATAAACAATTCATGCCCATTCCCCATCTATACAAAATCCAGGTTCAGGAAGTTTTGAGCATCAATAGTCATCCATTAGAGCTCGGTCACTTTGGAGCCAGCACTCCTGTGGGTGCAGGGGCCTGAACCTTGCCCTGGAGTGGGAGGGAACTGATTGCAAGTTGTCATTTTTCAGCAGTAAAAAAACCTCTAGAGGCCCAGGGCAGCATCTTAAAACGAGCAATGAAAGCACAGCCTGGATCTGCAGCCTGCATCCGCATCCGTTCCATCTTCTTACAGTCCCCCAGTGTCCTGAGGTACCCAGAAGGAAGCCTGAGGTCTGCATTGACACTAACTTTGCTTTGCAAATGTCTCTGATGTTCACTCACACATTAGCAAACATTCAAACCAGAAACCATTTGCAGGGATGGGGGGGTACCACCAGCATTTTACATGGCTCTCCATGGTTTTAAATACCACACACTTTGCTTGTCAGAGCGCATGATCTAGGCGTGGGGTTTCATTAGCTATGCAAACACATAGTATTCCTGTTTCTCATCCTGCTAGGGATGCATTAGTACTTAGAGAGCGCTCAGCTTTCAGTTATTACCTTATTATTATCTTAATAATGTTAATATTACTTTGTAATAATACTAATATTATTAAGTTATTACTGCCACAGTAATACGCCTACCATAGAGAGGTTCACGAGTAGCAAGCTGAGGATGCCTCAGCAGTTTCACCCAGTTACTTCCAAGAGAGAATCAGGCTTTGCCAACGGATTCCCACACACACATCCCTGTGAAGGGCAGGAAATCCTCCTGGAAGAACTCGCTTATTATTTCCATACAAATGAAGGCACTCAACAGCCCTTTGCAGCACTGTGATACCCCCCCCCCTCCATGCTTTGCATACCCACAGTGGGTGGGAAGTGATCCCCCTGCTCCCCGCAGGATACAAGGCAAGAGGCGCTGCTCCCCCGGCCCATCCCGGCACTCACTCACCGCCAGGTCCCGGCGCAGGCCGCGGTACTGCTCCCGCACCGAGAAGCCGCTCCTCGCCTCCAGCTCCACGCGTGGCTCCGTGGGGAAGCGGGCGCTGAAGCCCCGCAGCACCGCGCCCTCGAAGTCGGCCACGACGCCGTCCATGTCCACCAGCACCCGCAGCGCGCCGGCCATGGCGCCCCGTGGTACCCAGCGAGAGCCGTGCGGGGCGGCGCGGCACGAATATGCATGAGCATGGGCGGGGATGGAGCGCGTTAAAGGGAGCCCTTCTCGCCCCGCACCAGTGTCCGGGGTTACTTGCTAAGGGGTGGAAAGCAGAGCGAGAGCCGCTCCACGCTTCTCGGCCCCATTGCCATGCTCCACCAAAGAGGGCAGCGGATGGAGGAGCAGCCCCGCTCGGCTGCTGGAGTCTCAGCAAGTGTTAAAGGAGCGTTAACGAGTTCCGCGGGTTGTGGGGCTCGCAGAGGAAACGGGATTTGATTGTTTTCCTCCTCCCAGGGCAGAAAACAAGTGGGCACGATTTACATTGCAAGCCACGAGGAGCAGCACCCCCCGCTGCAGGAGGGGAGGAGCATCCTGGAGCAAATCCGGTTTTATAGGTTAAGCACCCCTGGCTGGGCCTTCCCAGGAACTGAACTGGAAAGGCAGGGTATTTTTAAGCACTGATTCTTCACGGGGAAGGGTGGGAATGGAGCAGTCACACCAGCTCCGTGCAGATTCACTGCTCTGGCTTATTGTGCAGCAGATCCCCTTCCAGGACAACAGAGACACTCATGGCTTCGTCTCCCCTCCCCTAATTTTCATGGTGAGAATAAACATCCCTCTGTTTTCTTGACAGATGGAAGCATTTGGATAAAGCAGGTTAGAGATCACCCCATACCCCACACTCCTCTGACCTAGACGATAGAGGCGAGTCAGAGTCTGCAGGAGAAGATGGCAACTCCAAACCAGGTATGCAAACACTCCACTGCATCCCACCTCTATGTCAGAGGCTGAGCCAAAGCCCACTGAGACCAGAGTTGAAATAAAACCCACACAGGAAACACTGCTTCAAAACTTCTATATTATTTACTCGTAAGCAACAGTCCAGCTTTGTGAGATTACAACACACACTTGAAAGGATGAGATTTTTCCACCTCATGGTCAAGCACCAGCATGATCATGCACAGCATTGAGTCAGTTGTAAAAAAAAGGCCCTGTCATTTGTATTGATTTCACTGATCCACTCTGCTTTACTGAATCAAGTCTGAAGAATTCCCCTCCTAGCATCAGCCCTATTTGGCACATACCCTGCTTCATAGTAGTCCAGTATCAAGTGTTTGATTCTATAGTGTATTTTAAAGGCAGCATGGTGTACACTAACCACTTCAGGATTCATATGGCACAGCAGGGCTCAAGGCATTTAACCCCATGCAGTCAATGAAGCCCTTTAGGGTCCCCAAGTCCTGCATGTGGAGGAAGGGACTGCTCTTGCTGATTGGTTGCTGGCCTCTTTAACCAGGATTCTAGACCCTTGTAAAGCTAAAGGGGTTCTAAAAAAACCTCGGTACAAAAACCCTCTAAGCACACTTGGAACCAATCTACTCTCCTTTGAGTTACAATGACGATACTTCATAAAGCTTTCCCTCAAGCCTATCACTAGAAAACACTCATGTCACTTCCAGTAGATCTGGGGAGGGGAAAACACAGGACAGAAGTGGGGAGAAAACAGAACCAACCCTTGATCTCAACAAAAGATGGGAGTACATAAAGTGCTTCTTTTTAATGAAAGGAATTGGAGATGTACAGTCAGGCTCAAGTTGTGCAGTTCACAAGCATGGGGGGTAAGGGGGGGAAGAAACAAGACACGAGTTCAAAACAGGAAGGGAAAGGTTTAACCGAGGACTAGGCTGGACTTGCCACCGGGTGGATTTCTCCTGGATGGTGCTGGTGCTACTGGGCTAGGAACAGGTGCAGCAGGCAGGGATTTCTCTTCACTCTGACCTGGGGCAGCTTCTACGTCAGCCTCAGTGATTTCTAGGAGAAAAGAAGCTTTTAAAGTGTCTGATGTGGATGATGGAGCCACAGTTTGTGGCTTACACAGAGGATCAGCTCCTCTTAAGTCTGGTTCAGACTGACACACAGAGCGCTGCTGGAACCTGCTGGCAGGACAGGCTGCAGCCCTCTGAAGTGTTCCAGATGTACCCTGATGCCTTAAGGTTCGGCTTCAGGCATTCAAGAGCCACATTCACACAGCTGCTGTTACAGAACCCATCAATTGTTCATACATTACATTTTAAAGACAAGCAGCTTAAGCCTTGTCCATGTTATTAGTCACTGTATGACCGTGCCAATTGTAACCCAAATCCGAGCAGGTGCTGGAAACCAAGTGCTCAAACTACATTCCCAGTATCATGAACTAGAGGGAAGAGCATCTGCCACACACTTCTGAGGCTTCACAGAGACAGAGCAGGGAACAGCCATGCATGGGGAGGCTCTGGTTGTAGACCCCCTGGGAAGCACACGATAGCTTCATCTATCTAAATGCTTCTGAACGACCACAAGTGAAGACAGGACACAGGAGGAATCTTCATAGGAAGCACTTTAGATACTGTGGCAAGTAACTAATGGATCTGCTCCACTGACAATTCATTAAGGAGCACATCAAACACATCAGCAGCTCGTGTTCTCATAAATGAACACAATCAGGTATGAGCCAAAGGCCCAAATCGGCGCCAAGCAGCCCCTGATACCTGGGGGGGATGAAGGGAATGCAGTTTCACCATCAGCTCTGTCAAGGTGAACTTAGGAGACCCCTTTTAGTTTCATCATATCACTAGTTCTTGGTTTGGAGGATTCACCTTCACCACCACCTTCATGATTCAGTACATCTTGATCCTATTTCCTCTCCCTTTTCCAGCTGAAGCCATTTTAGTCTCCTTACAAGGCAGCTACTGCATCCCTTTACATTTCCCCTTACATTCCCCTTTTACCTCCACTCTGCTCTTTACATGTCCAGAACTGCACACATGATTCAAGACATGGGTGTATCATTGTTTACAGAGGCAAATGCTGGCTTGTTCCCCATTCTCTCCTTGACAGCATTTCAGAGTGTCAGAGAAGTTCAGTAACAGGACTCAAGGCAGATCCTGGGAGTTAACTGCTGCAGCACCGAACCCAAGGCTGGCATCATTTAGGTGTTGGGTTCCCCCCCAGTGCATTACTTTATACTTACTTACACAAGAACTATCCTGCCACCTTTTAAGCCGCCTGCCTTACTGAGTTCTCCTGACGGTGACATTTTCTCACTGTCAGCACAGTTTGGCTCCTTGAAGGAACTCGTGTCACCAACAGGATTGGAGACTTCACAGCTCATTACCTTTTCCAGGTCACAGGAGAAGGCACTGAATAAAACCAGCCTCAGCATCACTTCCCATGGCTCGTTTTTCCAATATGAAAAGCAATCACTAAGCCCTACCCTTTGCCTCCTAAGCTTTAGCTCCCTTTCTATCTAAAGGAGCAGTTTGCCTCCAATCCTATGGCATCTTTGATGCAGAATTTTACCAGCAGCACTGAAAACCCACTCGTGTGCACTGACCCTCCTGTATTCATGCTTCTAATAATCTCAAAGAGCTCCAGCAGCTTAGTATAGTCTCCATGAATCAGAAACAATCTCCAAGACAGATTCTCTGCTCTATTCATTAACCCACATCTGAACACCACAGTTACTATGAAGCTTGAAGCTCTGCAGTCCATGTGTACCACTGCCTGCTTACTCAGCAAGCTGAGAACAACTCAGGCCATCCCCACTGCTCACATAAAGCTGAATGCTCCATTATCTGCACCTTCAGCAGACAGTCCAAGTACTGTGCAGCACTCCCAGTGATGATCTGTCCACCAAATGCCAGACTCCACCTTTGTGTGTATCATCATGTAGAGTCAGTCATTGGTGACAGTCAATCGAGGGCTGGCTGGTTCTCCTTAGCTGGTCACGTTCATTAGGCACACAGGGCCAACTGAATCACAAAAGAAACCAGAATTACTGTCACAGGAGGCTTTGGGGGAAGTTTCTACAGCATTTAGAGGCCCACTTGGCCAGCTGAGGTACACATCAGTGCTTCCCACATAATCGAGGTGTGGATAAGCTCAACCTAATAACTAAAGTAGTAAGTGCAACAGGATCAGATCAAATGTTAAAGTTCCTATCAGAAAGGGTATGAGCTCTCAACCAGCTTCCTCCTGAGTAAGGAGTTTGGAAACTGATGCACAGAAAGGAACTACAGCTTCCAAACAAGCAGCAAGAACACTGATGCAAAAAGGAACAGGTTTTCTTCCCCTAGGCAGGCATGATTAATAAAGATGCACACACCTGACACCTACTTGGGGTTTTACAATCAGTTACACACAGAAAATCGTTTTCAAATTCAACAGAATAACCACTTTGTTTTAATGATGGGAACCCATTAAGAATCTGGTTATGCACTGAGCTGTCTTGCCTTGGAGGTGCATTCATTCAGCCCAGAGACAAGTGCCACAGGTGGGATGTTCACCAGCTCATGCCTGCCATCTCACACAGCAGGAACATCAAGTGCAGTGACACAGCCAGCTCAGCAAGATGCTGCGCTCCATTAAGCTCTGATACCTGAAGCTATCAACGGTAGGAATTAACTTCACAATCCACCAAGGTTCTCAGGTATGTGTCACAGTCACCATTTCCACTTTCTACTCCTTCCTAAGCACCATCTGGGGAAGCTTATCATTCAAACCTCTGCCTGTCGTTTCTATTTCATCTTAAACATCTACAGAAATGCAATTTGAGCAGCGGCTACAACAGCAAACACCCCAGTCCCTGGCCAGTAACATAGCCCTGCATCTGCTTCCTCCCTTCTCTACTTGCCTTACCACTGCTTGCAGGCTCTCATCCGACCCCATGTGAGCTCATTAAATACCAGGAGTAGCAGCAGAGTCCTCAGATCAGTTTACTTCTATTAGCAAACCACATCCTCCTACTTGAAACATAAACTCCAGCTGCCTACAGTGCTAATTAAGATCAGACAGACATGGGAAAGAAACACTGAAGAAGCCTGTACAGTTTGATTAGAAGCAGCAAGACTAATTTGGGGCACAGATACCACTTAGAGGTAGGTAAAACATTCAGAGAATACTCTTCCCCCTCCCAGCAGAAGTCTTTTCAGGACAGGGAGCTGCTAATGGCTTTAGTGATCTCCCACAACTCCTATGTGTTGAAAGCAGCACTTAGAAAGCAGCAGTCAACACACATTCCTCTGGTCAGGAAGTAAGCTGTTCTTAAGGTCAGACTTACAAAGAGAGATTTCCAGCCTCAGAGCTAGAGAAAACACTTCAAGGTTACCATGCATGCTGCAAGGGGAAATGCCCATTTACACCACGTTTGCAGTATGCAGATGAACTTCCTTGACAGAAATCAGCATTTGAAAAAGGACAGGAGCTTAAAAGCCAGTAAGTGCACACACTTCCAGATGCAGGTGCTGGGTTTGATTATTTCTGTGAATGTAGTGTTTGCTGCAGGAGGCAACAGGAAACTGAATTGGTAAACTAAAAGCAGTTGACTGCACTGTTGAATTATAAACTACTAGAAGAGCAATGGAGTCTCCATCAGTGAGCTCTTTGCAGGATGGTACCCACCTCGCCTTCCAGTGCTTATACAAACCTGGACACCAACTGCTGATGGCCAAATAAATGCACAGGACTGTTCCCACTTTGAACCTGATGGCTAGCAGGCACTCCAGCATTTCATCCCACAGCCACACTGCCACTAGAGCAGCCAGCTGACTTTAGTGATTTGATGGATTCCAGGAACACTCCTGAGCTGTCTCTCTCCTGACACACGACCATTTATATATCCTATGTCCTCTTCTGTTTCAGAAGTCCCCAACTGCAAAAGGCTTTTACTAGAGGAGTCTGAAGGAGTTACTCACCAGAAGTTTCACCACCACCAATTTCTCCCTAGAAGAGAGAGAAACACATTAAATCTCATGCTTCACAATGTGTTTTCCCCTTCCATCAAAGAGGGTCACTCAGTACTCCACATTATGACCATGGTGGTTGGGCAACACCTTCCAAGTGACAGATTCAGTGAAGCACTTACAGACCAGCAACAGGCTCTTAGGTACAGATAGCAGAGCAGTGGGTTCTGCATACATATTTCTGCAGATATTATGGGTTTGCAAGCCCCAATTCCTACAGAATGACTAATACAACTTCATCAGCTGTTTATTTATCTGGCATAATTCTTAATGTTTAAGCAGAAAGATACTACTGAAGCAATCCTGACTGCCTCTAACATGGGGCATTGTACTTGTTCTCACACTGTGAAGGACATGGGTGGGCAAGGACACTTATTACAGACATCACCCTCCATGAGGCAGCAGACAGTAACCAGGACACTGTAACTGCTGAGCAGTAGTGACAAGGAATTAATATAAGCAGTTCACAGCAGTTCAGTGTCCCCTCCTTTCTATTAAACAACTCTTTCCAACACCAAATACTTATCTGTTAGCAAGGCCAAGAGCATTTCTTCCATCCCTTTGTGAAATACAGATCAGTTCTTTGCAAGGTTACTGATAAGGTTCCCTTCACTACGTGAACAGCTAAACCCATTCCTTTCATGCTGAATCTCTTCACAGGCTGCAGCTTGCCACAAAGACACAGAAAGTCTTCCAGCAGCAGCCAAGCCTCCCCTATAGCAGGAGGTTTCAGCAACTTCCATAGATTTAACATTGTTTATTACACAGCAGAACTCCAGTCATCAGGATATAAAATACACAGAGACTCATAGAAATATACCAAGTTAAATCTCAGATGGGGGCTACAAAGCACTAGCTCCAGCTTCTGCTGCTCGCAGCTGTAACTACTGTACAAAGTATTCCACACTGGAGCCGTTTGCAAAGCTGAGAACCACAGTACTGAATACAGTTAAGTAGAAAATACACTAAACAGTTTGTGTTTTCAGGGGTAGCAGCTACAAATTCAATCTTACTTATATTTGCTAACTGGAACAATCTATTTCCTGCAAGAACTGTTTTGTGGCTCAAAGTGCTTATTGATACAAAAAGCTATAGAACCAGGTTGTGATTGATGCCAAGTATCAAACTGAAACTTGCTCTTTAGCATCCTGTTTTCCTAAGTTCAGGAGGAATTGCTACCCTGCTTTTGTTTTTCCCATTAAACATAATCATACCTCAAGCAAATCCCATGTTAACACTAAAATCACGTTCCATATTGCCACCAAGTGCAGTTTATCTTAGGCAAGAACACACCTGATGACAGTAACAGAAATAAAACAAGCATTCATGCTACTGAGCTAAGTACTTGTTGGGAGGTGAAACCAAGTCCTTTGTCAGTTCCAGTTTGTTGTAGGTAACTATTGTTTGTAAAGTCTGTTAAATACACCATTACACACATGTCTGAAGCTGATTTCACCCCACTTCATTACTGGTTCATCAACAAGAGCTGAATGATGTAGGAAGTGGTTCTGTTAGAAAAATCCAGCCCTTCATCAGCATATGCTGTAAAACTATCACATGGAAAAGTGAACCTTCAGGAAAAGAACAGATTTGAGGCTTCACATCCTACAATGTCTCCAACTGTGTGAACACAGTGATAAAGCCATCCCACACAGAGCATGAATTGTCCCATTATCAGGCTCTTCCTAGTTAATGTACTGACCTTGGGATCTACAGAGTCTCGGCAGTTTGCATCAGTTGAGTTTCTTCTTTGTGGCCCAGATGATTCACAGTTTTCTCCGCTTTCACCTGGCTTAGTCCCTACGAGCAGAGATTGATGCTAATCAGGCTGCAAGATAAACTGCCTGGGAAAGTACATCACTGGGGGTTGGTTTACCCTTCTTGGACCTTTCAATAGTAACTCACAAATTACAGTCTTACAATAGCATTACATTCAGTTAAGGGTGTTCTTTAAACAGATGGAAACTGGGGTCCCAAAGCCACCCATACTGGCAGTGCTCTGCAGAGATGGAAGCTTAATCCCACTACACTTCCCCTGAATATCCAAGACCAATCAGTGCTACTAAGACACAAGTTCACCTTATTGTGCCTTGGAGAAATTACATCCCAAACACAATTCCCTGCTTGCAACACCCATGCCCATGTCTTGCATAAAGGAATTCCCAGCCAAGCAAAACTCTGGAAGCAATTCAAAATGAGAAATAAAGAGTCTCATGCAAGCAAACATCATTTATAGCCCTCAGCTCCCATGCGGGAAGCGAACTCTGGTTTCTACACTAAGCCACCAACAGCTTCGGGCCCATTCAGAAACTGGAATTAGCACATGTCAGCAGCTCTGGGAACAAAGCCCTACGTTCGTACCCGATGATTTAGCCCAGGAAGGTGGATTTTCCTCAGGAGTTCCAAAGATGTGGGATTCCATTTTGTTCCTTCTCACAGGTTGTTCTTTTGGTTCATCAAAACCCAGGGAAAAGTTGGACCCACCTCCAGGAGGACGCAGCACTCTGGGGAGAGAAAGAGGCAGCTTTACAACCCTGCAGGGACCATTGCTGAGTGCAGTCCAACATGTAAAACAAGACTCATAAGCCAAGAGATCATAGTTGGCTCTCGTACCAGGCAGTCAGACTGTCCAGACAGAAACTGTGCAAGATGACTGTATTAAGCACTGCCTTTTAACAAATGACACAGGGTGTCGTGTCTTCAGTGCAGGGTTTCAGCTCTAAAGGCAAGCTGCCTGCCAGCACTCAAGCCAGACACTGTAACTCCACTGCTTGTCTCGTCAGCAACACTTCGAGCCCTGAGAACTCCAACATTAATCTTCTAACTGGCAGCGCAGCAAAGACAGGAGCCAAAGGACTGGTTGTATCACTGATGACTGGGGGCTGCAGCCTTTATCCACGTTTGTTCCATTGGAAAAACCCTTAAGTCTGCAGCACGCTGCTGGACTAGACTTAAAAGGTGCTATTAAACAGTCTTAGGCTAAACTATGATTAGGAGACACATATATATGAGGCTCCAGGTATTAACCTAAACCTAGCAATCCTTCTATTAGACACAAAAGAAGCCTGCCTGGTACTTTGTGAGCTATATTGTGGTCTGCTTTCCAACATGCAGACATCAAGCCAAATAACAGGAGCAGTAAAACACATCTTTAAATGTAAATTCCTTCAGATCTTATTTTCTTAAGCATGAGATGTTGTGTTAGCTGGAGAAGCCAGACAAAGCTAGGAGCATAAAAACACATAAGGAGAACTGCCACAAACCCTGGATAGAAGTGAGTATGTCAACAGAACTGCACTTTTAAGACACTCAGTGCTGTGAAATGAAGCCCAGAACACACTTGGGATAGCATACATAAAATCAGGCTAGAATTCTGCAGCAGAGAACAGTGCAGAGTTTGTCAATGCACCCAACCCAGGAACTGCACACAGAGAACATGTCCGATTTCACCATGTCATCACCATCAGTCAAAGGGTTTAGATCTTTTGAGGCTTTGTGCCTATTGCACCCCAGATGCAACGCAAGAACCCTTCTCCAGCCTATAGAGATCACAAAGCCCAACTGACACAGGTGTGTGGTGTGGGGATTCAGTGTTACTTAACCAGCACACTACTGTTCCTAACAGAATTCTCCTCCAAAGTTCAAGCAGCACTCAGCTGTTAATGGGAGGATCCCAGGAGATTGTGGAGCATGTATTGAGAATCCAGGAATGGGGTTTTTATGCCTTGCTTTGTCTTCCTTCTGACTACAGAGATAACAATGCCATGGTCTTGAAGCTTATCTTTTTTCCCCCAAAGAAAATGTCCCCACGTAGGTTTATTTTCTCAGTGACATCTGTTGCAGTAATTCAAAGAACAGACTGTTCAAAGGGATTGTTTCCACATCTCAGATCACCTTTATTTTACCAGAGCAGTGAAACCTGTACTCCCTTAACAGCACAACAGTTTCCACTGACAGCCTTAATGAAATTAACAGAAGAGGCAATTGAAGGAAGAAAGCCATCACTCAAGCTGTTAAAAAGGAATAATCCCTCTTGCCAACCTCAGCTAAAGGCTCATAGGTGTTATTAGGAGCCGCTCACAACCTCGAGACATTGCAACACATTTGGTCAAAGCCACATCTAACACTTCAAGCAATGAGCCGCTCTTAAAACTGCACCTGATACCCAGTGATGTTTAGTGCAGATTCACCTTGGCTCCATCCAGGAAGCACACTCTTACACAGGGTTTGCTTTGTCTTACAACGCACCCCAAAAAGGCAGAAGCAAACAGGAAGCAGCTGCTTTATCAGGCCAAAACCTCATGGAAACACACGACACGGTCCTCCCCACGCCAGCTGCTCCTGCTGCAGGAACGCGGGTGCCGAGCATCTCTTCCAGACCTACCTGCCAAGTTGTCTTTGTCTCCAGACAGGCTACAGCTCCCCAGCCCCCGTTTGCCACCGCAGGGCCGGGGAAGAGGCACCCCCCCAGTCCCGAGCATGATCCCTGCCCACCGACGGTCAAGCAACGGAGCGGCACCGGCCGGCCCTGGGAGCCCCCGCCGAAGCGGGCAGGTGGGGAGGCCGGGGGAAGCAGACAATGGAGCCCGCTCGGCCCCACCCAGAAGGCGACGGCTCCGCCAGGCCGAGGGGTAAGAACGGCGCTGGCAGCCGCAGGGAGGGGAGAGCGGCGGGCAGAGGAGGGCAGCGGAGGGCAGCCGGGTGCCGATCCCCCCCCATCCCAACCCCCGCGGTGCGGAGCGCGGCCGCGCAGGGAGTCGCCTCCCTTCTTTGTTCGGGAGAGGCAGGGGCGCACGCCCGAGCACCCGGGGTGGGTCTCGCCAGCTCCCTCCCCGCAGCTCCCACACCCACCTCTCCCGGGCAGCTGCGGCAGGGCACAGCTCCGGCCCCGGCCTGGGCCCCCCACCGCCACCGGCAGCGCAGCGGACGAGCCGAGTCGAGCCCACCGGTAGCCTAAGGCACCCGGGTGGGTGCGGCAGCCGCCTCCCGCCCAGGAAACGGCGAGGAAGAACCGCACACACCGACCCCCGACTCTGCCCGCATCCACTGCACCCCCCCGGGCCGGCTCCGCGTCCCCCAGAGCCGCTCCATGGAGCCCCCTCCACACCCGGCCGGGCCCTGAGGCGAGGCGGAGTGCCGGCCCCGCCGCGACCGCCCTCAGCCCCGCCGCCCTAACGGTCCCAGAGGCCCCCGCCGGACCTGGAGCTGTTCCTGCCACTGGGGTCCATGCCCGAGAAGGTGGTGGTGGTGGTCATGGCGGCGGGGACGCTGGAGATGGACGCAGAGGAAAGGGCTCCGTGGAGCGGCCAGCGGGCGGTGACAGTCCCGGATCGGAGCTCCCCTTCCTTCCCCACCCGGCCTCCCCCCGCTGCTGCCGCCGGTGACAACTGCGGCCGCCGCCCGCACCGGTCGCGCTTTTTATATCCGCGTTAAGACCCCGCCCCCCAGGCGCAACTTCATTGGACGGTTCAAAAGCACTCCCGAGCTCCTATTCGACAGCATCCTGCCACTCTGCCCTATGGCCCGCCTCCCCGTCTCTACTGAGGCGCCTTGCCTCACCGGGAAAAGCTCATTGGTGAAGCACTACGTCTGCTCTGCGGTGATTGGCTGGGCGTGGGCGGCGGCACCTTTTGTTGCTGATTGGCAGGAGGCCCGTCGCTCATTTCAGGTGAGCTGCGATTGGCTCAGCCGCACATGAGGTGAGACAAAAGTGTGTGCGGCGCTGGCCCTGGGACGGCAACCGGGCCAGCGCCTGTCCCCACGGCAGTGTCCGGTACCACTGGGCTCCCACCGCCACCCTCACTCCTATCTCCATGCTGGGAGGCGGCCCGGCCCCTGCCAGCCGTGAAGGTGCCTCGGAGCACGTCATGGTGCACCCTCAACAGCCATGGATGAACAACAAAGAGGCCACGGAGGTGTGGAAGGCGCTTGCATGAGGCCACTGTGGTGTCAGGGGCTGGCTCCGTCGAGGACAGACACAGCCAGCGACCTGCAGGCACAAGGCACAGTGGAATGAAGTAAGCTGCAGTATCAGATGGTGGCTATTCCATGGGCATCACTGTCTGCAGCAGTGGAGAATGAGACCCATCAACACTGTGTTAAACGCTGGAGACTGTGTGGATCCTCCCCAAAACATGTGCAGCATGGACTTCACATTACCAGATGTTGGCCACTGACCTATCTGTCAAATCCACCTTGGAGCTGTTCCTGAGCTTCAGACACACAGATGTTTCCTGGATCACCACCAGCACATCTCCAGAATGAAGACATCAGGACCTCCGGCTGCAAATGTTATTGTAATTAGTACTTGCATAAGGACATAGAAGGGGGAAAGAAAACCCTTGCGTGTTCCATCCATCCCTCCCAGTCTGCACTAACAGCCCTTCACAGCCTCAAAACCCATTCTTCTCCTTTATGCTTTGGCAAATGCAAGTTTGGTTTGTGCTGCTTCACCCTGATGTACAACAGGAGGTATCAAGCGTCTGAGTTATCATTAACCTTAACACAGCTCAGAGCTGAACTGCTGAAAGCACTTAAACAGGAGCACAGCATTTTAATTTTCTAATCTAGGATCTATAAAAAAGTTGTTAACAAAAAGCCCCAACCACTATTTAGGTCCACAGGGAATTCTGTCACATTTTTCCAGATGCAGATTAAAGGGAAAGTTTAAGTAACATGACACAGTTGTTTTAATTCCATTATCCCTTAGGCTTGGGCACTAAGAAGTCAAGTGATCCCTACTCTTGCATACAGGTAAGCAGGTGCTCTCCCGGGAAGTTGCTCAAGTATTTTGTCATCTAAATGCTTTTTATTCAAACCCACAGCATTTGACTCTTAAATTTGTACCCTTGAGACAGGCAGAGCCTTTTCTTAAAGTCAAGATGAAGAAAAACCCGTTTCCTCTGCCAAAGCCAGTTTTAACACGCAGCGTTACAACTCTGAACCTTCAGCATTTCCAAGGGGACCCCACTGATGTCTCAATCTGTGCAATGGTCTGTAAAGAAAAGCTGCTTTGCTGATTAGTTACCCATAAGAAGAGGTTTAGGAAGATGGCCACAGAAATTGGGCTTATGGTTCTCCTCAGAATGATGGCATTCGACCAGAACTCTCCTCAGCAGCTGTTTGACCAACTCAGACACCACAATTCCACCTGCTCCTGAAATTGAACCGGCAATGAAAGCAAAAAGCATCTGGAAGTGCAAACAAGGCTCTAGGAAATGCAAGGGTTAGGCAAGGAGAGATACCATTGGGTTGAGAAAAGCCTCAGCTTGGCCATCCTCCTGTGACCAAGGGCTGCTTCTTCATGCCAGTCTCTGCTACTTATGGCACAGCCACAAAGAACATTTGTTCTTTAGCTCACTTTACCAAAAATAGGGTTTCACTCAGTCTTGTCTTCTATCCCCCCACTCCATTCATAGCTGAAGGTAAGAAATAAGCTTCAGCTAATAAATAATCCTTGTCACAGCTGGATTTGCAGCTGTAAAAGACCTTTGCATGTGAAGTGGTGCACAGTGGATCCTAAAGATGAAACTGTTCCTCCTACTGAGCAGATGCTACAGTTTGCAGGAGCTGTAAAAGCTTCTTTGGTGCCCCTGTACATCTTTACATAAAATCCATAGCAGTAAGCTAGTGTTTGGGATGGAGGCTTCAATCAATATCCAGATTCCTCTCAAAGCTGCAGGGATTTAGTTCTGAACAATATAAAAAGCAGAGTGAAATTCATGCTGCTGTTCCTGTCTGGGCATCCAGCATTACCAAGGCTGGCTGTATACTCCAAAGCACAGTGGAAAAAGACAAGCATCACTGGAAAGGGAAGTCAGTGTCCTGAGATGAGAGTCCTCAGAGCACTCCTTTCATTCTAGATTGCTTAAACTGAAGTTTTCATTAAGTCATCCTTCAAGAGACCTTGCAGGGCATCAGATGCGCTTTAATGAGATCTATGGATGACAGCTGAAAGGGGGTGCATCTAAACCACCAAAACCAGCACAAAATCCGTCCCAAAGGGTCTCCTGTGCACCCATGTTCCCCCCCCCCCCCCAAGAATATTTCTTTCCTAAGAAGTAACAATTTGCTATTTTGGCTTCTACAACCTTAAGTCTTTCCTTGGTGCTCTAAAGTCATCCTCCTATCAGGATTAATTGTGAAAGCCCTGCCTGTTCCCACCACAGCTCCTCACTAACTTGTTCTTCCTATAGCACCCATACCCTCACTACTTCCAGGATCTCTGTCGCCAGTGAACCACCAGCTCTACCTCATCCCTCCTGCATAGTCTGAACTTCTCCAGGAATAGGGGAAAAAGAGGAAAACTCTTCCCCTCAAAGGGACTCAAAACCATTTCACAAACACCCGCTGGGTCTCCCATGTTAGCAGAAGACCCTTAGTCCCATGCTCTGAATGAAGAAACCAGGAAACCTCTGTAATCAAGCACCTTGAAGGCCAGCCAAAAACTGAAACCAGATCAAAATCCAGCCTTCCATCTCCTGATTATCCTTACACTTCTACATCCTAACCACCAGGGAGAACTGCTGTGCTACCAATCCCTTCTGACACCAAGTACAAAAAAGGGAAGATATATTTCAGGATTAAATTATTCCCTCAGAACACATTCACTTTGGCAACCATTTAACAGCCAGAATGAACTTCAATAATCCAGAGAATGAAATCTATTAATGACAGTGGTAACGTAAGTTATTTAAATGCTTTTAGAGTGTCTTTTAGTATTCCCTAACAAACCCCTATACAAGTGGCCTGAGAAGCAGCCACGACCTAAACCTCTAACAAAACCCTTCAGTTTATTGTTCACTTTCAATTTAGTAGATGATGATCAAGGAGCATCCGGGTTTTCACTTTTAGCTTTGAGAACAAATTGCTGTTCCTTAGCAATTCCCTTCTTTCCAGCTGCCTGAAGCACAGAAAGCATTCTTTCCTTGAGCAGCTCACATGCCTGTTCATTAATGTTGCAGTGACGGTCACAATAGAACCGGTATCTGACAGATGAAATGACAGCACTTACATTACATTGACTCGGAAGTAATGAAGTCAAGGTACTAGAAAGGAATATTCTTGCAAGAAAATAATCTTGTTTTGACACAACCTTTGCAGGAACACTCTTACCTGTTTTGATATTGTCATGATCTTGAAGCAGCAACTATCACACTGCTACTAGAGGTGCTCTGCTTTTGTTGAGAACACCTCTATAGCCAGTACAAGAATCTCTCTCACATCACCACTCAGAGTATTTCCTTACCCTCTTGGCAGCTCAGCATATTCTGTTTCAGATCAGCCTTGCACTCCCAAACCACCTCTGAAACCAGCACCTCAGGCTGCTTCGTACTGAACAAGAGCCCTATTAAACAGGTGTCATCCCCCCTGTGCAGATAAAAGGGAGGCTCTAGCTTTCAGGTGTTAACTAAAGAGTCCCACCACAACCAGTTGTACTTCCAGTCTGCCATTACCCCTCCCAGAAATAAAACCACCTTAACTTTCCACCTTTTTAAACACTGGTACTGTCCATTCCACAAATGAAACTGTCTGAGGGACTGAAGACCCAGCATACAGTAAAGGCAAGGCCTTATCATCCACAGGAACTCACTAGAGAATTGTATCTGACTACAACTTACTCCATTCTTTTTCATTTAGAAACCAGGAGAGGAACATTAACTAAATTGCATGGCAATCACTTCAGAATGTGTCATTTGAAAGCTGTGGGTAATAATATCATTTGCCCAGGCTCTTGAGAGATCCCAGCTGTTAACAAACATGAAAAACTCACCTCTCCCAACCAATGTGACAAGACCTCTGCACCCGTTTCCCATTATCATCTGACATGTGGACTCCTATTAGTGTAAGAACTACTATAAACCAAGCCAGGCCAAACAGCCAAGTCTGAATTGTTCAAACCCCTGCACTTCACAGAACTTCTGCATCCTCACCCCTCGAAGCAGCTTTCCCAGTGAAGAGGTCTCAGAGGAAACCCACTGAGGTCCCAGCAAACAGGAATCAACAGGTAAATTCTCCAGCAACAGAGGAATGGTACCAATGAGCACCAAGTTCTAGCCTAAGGAAAGTATTGCTAAGATGAATTGTATGAGAATAGGTTTTAAAAGCAGGTTTTACACAGCATTTCTGCACTGCTGTGTCCACAGACATGCATCAGAATGTGCAAACTCAACAGTTTGCTGGACTAGTGGAAATTAATGTTTGAGGCTCTGGACGAATTAAGCCACTTGAGACAGTTTCTTGATGCCTGTCTAATAGAGGAAAAGCTCAATTCATCAGTTTCTGATTGCAGTCACCAACTCACACCACCACCACCCAACACTGTTAGAGCAGTTA